AACTGTACCTGGTATAGCGTGTCGTGTGTAGACCGAGTCTTCGCATCCTTATCCTACGGAATGCGGTGTCTGACTAAATGCTAAGCTAGTGTGCAAGTATGCTAGCTAGGTAGTGTTTAAAGCAAGTAAGCTTTAATTGTTACTGTTACAATCTATTTAATTTATTTGAATTCAAACGTACCCGATATTATTGGAAAACACTATATTAGGTACCAACAAATTAAAAAAACGACAATTCACCATAGGTATGATTTTGAATTCAAACAACCGTCCACTTAACAGCTAATACCAATTTTTTGTTACTTCATATTTGCACGACAAATTTCACTAACTGGCGTGTCTCAAGCGGACGGAACACGATATCTCGGACCAGTTGGGACCGCTGCTCTGAAATGGTCCGAGATATCGTGTTCGTGAGCGTTGTCAATGTGTGCGTTGCTCGAACGCACTTTGTATGAGATTACCTTCTGTACTATCTATTTTGTAGCTCCGTGCTCCGTGGCCCGAAAGCCATGAAGATCTTATGCTAACACAACCTTATATATTACCTCAGTATGAACCTTTTTTCTCTTAAACACCAGTATCAATCAACCGGCGCTCGCTTCGCTCAAAATTCGTTTACACCCGCCTATCGCCTGTCCAAATATATCCCATGTGAACATTCTTACAAGAAATCAATTGTTACTTTGTTCCGTTTCGATAACCAAAGTGTTCCAAGGGATATTACCCTTTGGTGGGCCAAAGATACATTTTTTTATAAAAGGTATAGCAAGTCGAATATTCAGTTACTTTTATAAATAGGTATCTCGTTTTACCTGTAATGTGAAATAAAATGTCTGCTTAAATCTAAATAAAGGTTAATAAGAAAAAATTCCACGGCCGTCAGGGCCGCGGTAGCATAATGGTCAGTGCATTCGCCCGGATAGCGAAGGGTGCATAGATATGCTTAAAAAATAAAAACATAACTTTAATTGCTATTTCTGCTTTCAAATGTTTAATACTTGTAAAGGTATTCATTTGACTTTGTGGGTTAGCTTCAATGCGAAGAGATGGCGCTGCCTTGCAGCCCAGAGAAAATTCGACACGGCCGTCAGGGCCGTGGTAGCATAATGGTCAGTGCATTTGCCCGGATAGTGAAGGGTGCAGGTTCGAAGTCCCGTCTGCTGCCTGATCCGCTTGATGTTTTTCTAGTAAACTGTCCTTTAAATTAAAACATTTAGCAGTTGAATGCTTAAAAAATAAAAACATAAAAATGTGCTGCGACAAATATAATATTTTACGGGTTAAAAGGCGAACTTAATCACTTAGTGGTACACTTGGTGCTGCAAGTGTCCAAGCAATGCTTCTGTTATTTACCATTATTAATCAAAGTACGCCTATAACGGTGTGTTAATGTATTTGGGAAAACCAACTTTGTCAAATGGCGACTTTTCGTTGTATGTCTCACTGAAACGAATATTATTTTAAAATTCAACTTACTAACTAAAAATGCGCATTTAAAGGGGCGCGTAAGAATTTTGTTTAAAAACCTAATATATGTGTACATCACGGATAAAATACATGTGCCATGTACGCTCAAACACATTACTGTTAACTACAATCTACACATTATTGATATTCTAGATAATATTTATAAGGAATGGATAAATAATTTACCTTTATCAGTATTAATAATTACAAATGTGCGCAGAGATATACACCAATTCACAACACTTTGCATGAGCTTGTAAAAGATCCATTGTATACGTTATTGTTTGGTTCTAATAAGCGCTGATAGTTAGCTTGACGAGCGCAAATAGTTTTACGTAGTCATAACTATGTATGTATAAGGTCGTTATTGGTCAAAGTGGTGTTCACCAAGTCGACTATAGATATTTAATTAGGTAAAATACGCCTATATATTGGACCCTTTTCCGTGGTTATAATTGCTTACTATCCTGTTATAGTTCTCGTGAAATTGTAGTTCCAGGACAATTACTAAACTACATTTTGCCGCTCGGGTAGTCATCAAGATCATGAGTTCATCAATAATTCCAAATATTTTCCAGTAACGCAGAATCTATGACGTCACTACTGACATTGATTTTACATCTTGAAATCCACTTAGTAACAATCTGAGATATATAGCGAGCCTAACCGAATCCCGCGTGGAGCCAAAAATCTACCTCAGAATATTGAATATTATCGACCTTATAATAACAGAGTAAACCTCTGAAAAGGTCATATTTTGTATGTCTAAATACGAAGGGTGTGAGACTGTGAGCATATTCCGACAAGCCTTCATTCTACATGGAAAAATGAAATGAAACAATTCTAAAAATAGGTAAGCGCTGAAAAGGTCGAATTCGAATACCACATCTCTGTGTGCTGTGAATACGCTTTCTTCAACTGCAAGTTGTTTGCTAGAATTTAACAAACACGTTTTTGACAGGTTGGAGTTGAAAATCAATGTGCAGAGTGGCTCTAGCTTGATTTTTTCAATTCTGTGGTAGTATTATACAACCTTCATATGGTATCCTTGAAAAAGCGACTTGATTTTCACAACGGACCGGCTACCAATAGATTGTCTGAACTAGGTAAAAAGTATCCATGGCTATTGAAATAATGTCAGCTACAGCATTTGCACAGACTAAATAATAGATAAATCCTTTAAATACCATTTTTTCATGGAAACTGTCGCTGGCACCCAACGTGGGACCGAAGGTCAACCATATTGCAATGGATGGCCCATGTAGAGGATGGTTGGATTGGCACCTGATGGAAAGTCAGGATACAAGCTTGCGTGATATACATTATATTAACGGAAATTTAAAAAGGCGATGCTTTAGAATTGAGACCCGATTATTACGTTGGTTTAGCCAAGTTAACACTCTGATTGATGATAAGAACCGCATCAAAATCCATTGCGTGGTTTTAGTTACAAGGTTAAGGGAGCAACATTATTTTATACTATATCTAGCAAGAATGTGTATGTGAGTGATGTGAGATAGAGTGCTTAGCTTATTCTATATGCGATTGCGGAAGTTAATGGAATTTCAACATAGATGATAGGATGATGATAGGAGGAAAGAATGGTCTCACCTCTAGCTCTTCCGTACTTCGGGAGATAGGTTCATTGTTCTCAGCAGCATCTGTGATCAGAATTCACCAATGTGCACAAGCAAAATGTCACAAAATATCAGTAAAATTTTAGTTGAGTTTCTGAAACCTGTAACGTTATGAAACTATGAAATTCTCACCAGTGAGCTTAATAATACTGATTTTGGTTATGTAAATATCCTTGACGATTCAAGTTTGATACCGATGCGATGGTGTAAAGAAATGCACGCAGAAAGCTATCCTCGCCGCGGCAACATTGAGTAGCCATAGTCACTCTCTTAGTCGGCAGCTGTTTACTTTATCACACTTTATCAGGTAGGAGACTGTTGGAAAAGCATACTTAAGCAACCATTTTACATCTACGGTCCGGTTTTAGTTTCGAACTGGTAATAATAATACAAACAGCCACAGGTCAAATTATCCCAAAAACTTTTAAATCCCTTCAACTGACATTGAGCTTTAAGCTTCACAATATATCTAGGAAATTAGACTGTTTGCGGTTACTTTATGTGTGGTTCTTTGTACATATATATATTTAACATGACGCGATTGAGGGATCCCTTGAGAGGAAGCAGCAAATGCAAGATGATGATTCAAATTATAGGATAGATACATTTAAATCATTTAATATTACTGAGATATATACTGCACTGTAATACAATACCTATACATGTTTTATAATATTTATAACTGCATGAATATTTTTGAAGTTATACTTCTTTAGGCGCGTTATGAAAAAATGATAAGAGTGAAATTTTAAGATGCGCGCGCATCACTGTAACACAAAATTTTAACAGCATGAAGATGGTCGCTTTAGCGACCAACTTCATGCGTTAATATTGTGTTTACCGCTCATTAAGAAAATCTACCAACAAAATAGAAATAGAATCTCTATTTAGTGGGTGCTAACGACTACATTGTGAAGGCCTATCAAAAGTATTTATTAATCTGGAACAACGGAACCAAAGCGCGATTCAGGAGACTACAGCGCCATCTCTTGACCATTGGTGTAGTAGAACCAAAAACCACATCTTTATTTTTTGTAATAAAGTAACAGTTATAGGTATTCATATTTATAATATTTATCCACATGTTTCTAGTTTGTATATTCGGAATACGTGTTTGAGTTTCATACAAGTGCAAATCACATATGTTCTAATAAATTATATTCAGTAGCGATTTTAATTGAATATTTTGATTATTTATTTATTTTTTCAAATTAAAACTGAACTTTATTGACTTCGTCCTTTTCCAGACTTTTTATTAATTTATTGTAATTAATTATTTGCATGCAATTAAAAACTAATTTTAAACGATGCCAAAGAAGGATAACTTCTCACGCACCTACATAAGTACACGCACCCATTTTTTTTATAAGGGTGTTTATATTTCAAATTATTATTTCAGAGTGGGTTAAGAGATAGGTAGGTATATAAAGGTGCCTTCCTACGAATTCTCTAGTCTAGTCTCTACCACAGAAAACTGTGATTTCTATTTCATCTAGGAATGTCATCAAAACAAACCAGTTGCCGACCTAATGTTGTTCTTGAAATTTAATCATTTTCTTTGTAGTCTTTATTTTAAGATGTTTTTCGTAAAAAATAAGTTACTAGCCTTATATCTAAGTAGGTTAGGTCAGGTAGGTACCTATACAAATTATTTTCCGACAACTGGTCGTTGACAGACATCGATGAAAAATTACACAACAAAAGGTGTATGGTTAATGCTCAAAATACGTACCCACATTATGAATGAAGGAAATTACCGAAGTATTCTCACCTCACGACAGATGCGGCTTGCGGTGGTCAGCGAATATAACAAGATGAGCGCGTTGTGATCGCTTGGCAAATGATTGAAAGAATTCTACCAGTATTAAATCATTTGGCGAGCGTTCACGACGCGGTCTGCGTGCGGCTGGCCGCGGCCGCTAACCTTGCCCTGCCTGGCCCCCTCCGCCGGCACCACTGCGCATGTGTGAGTGAGCGCGCGGCTGGCGCGGCCTACTGACAACGACAGCGCGTTCAGTTGCAAAATATTACAACAGGCCGCGCGTGTACCGCGTGAAAAATGGCGCCGAACACGGAAATTTTTATAGGAACAGTGAGAAAATATCCTGAACTTTATGACAATTCGCACTGTGACTACAAGAACACTGCCGTAAAGAATAGAATTTGGGATGATATCGCCGAAATGCTTGGCGAATGCGATGGTGAGTGAAAAACTTTGTTACGAGACAAAGTGTGAGTTGCACCAACTTACTTTAACGTTAAATCATAGTAAAAAATCAACTTTAACTACTTAGCTTTGTAGTGCAACTTACACTTTATTAAGGTACCTACTAGTTAAGTTTGTTACAAGCAAAACAATTTCTTTTTTTGTCAATAAACATAATAAGCAATAATTTAATGTAAACTGCATTACGACGACCTCCGTGGCCGAGTGGTTCGTACGCCGGGTTTCATGGTGTCGCCGACTCGAGAGGTCCCGGGTTCGAATCCGGGCGGGGGCGGATGTTTGTGTGGTGAATACGAGCATTTGTACTCCAGTCATGGATGTTTGATATGTATTTCTATAAAAATATACTTATATATGTACAGTATATGTATTCTATCCGTTACCCTAGTACATATCCCATAACACAAGCCTTACAGTGCTTACTTTGGGGCTAGGCTAATTGGTGTGAGTGTTGAAAATATTTATTTATTTATTAGATATTTGCTTATTCTGCTTATCGTAAATTATATTAAATTTTTTGTTCGTACTTCAAGTTTAGCAATCAGAAACATATAATAGGATAAGAAAACAAGTTATAATCAATATTAAGATAAGAAATCAAGAACACCTAATCCTCAGTGATTTCTTCTAAGGTAAATTTAATAAATAGACTTAAGATAAAACTGTACCCTTGAGTTGATACTGTTAACGAAGTATTTTTGTCGTTACGGTCACAGCACTAACATAACCTACTGTGAAGTGTCAACTCCTGAACGCAGCAAGTACAGTTTGGCCAAACCGAAATGCCATTTCTCATGAAATTCCGATGCAGCGACTCCCCAATCTTTTACAGTTGGACCAAGCATGTAAATTTCTGGCAAACGTTTCCATAGAGCTTCAAATACTTATTAAAAATTATGCCAATCGTAAAGAAAATAATACGGCCGCAGTGATCAATAATACCAAAACTGCCTTCGGTTGCGAGATATCTAAAATAATATTTTATCTATTTTACAGGAGATACTTTAAAAAAACAATGGAAGAACTTAAGAGATGCTTACAGTAAGCATTTGAGATCCTGCAATGCAAAGCCAGGAGAAGAGACAAAGCTTATAGACCGATATAGATGCTGGCCATGGGCATCAGTTATGAGCTTTTTACGCCCACATTTGGAAATAACTGAAACACATTCAAATAGACAAAGAAATAGCGAAAAAGCTGGCGCATCACATTCAATAAATACATCTTCATCAATAGAATTAGATACTCAATCACAGCAAATTGAGATAAAATTTGAACCTCAACATGATATTCAGCACATGCGTACTCAACGTAAACGAACTAAACAAAGTCAGTCAAACCTCGATAATGTTCTAAAATTCAGGAGTAAGAAAACAGAAAAAGATGATGATACAGATCTACTTTTTAAATCATATGCAAAGAAATTAAAGAAAATGTCAAATCGTCGTCAAGCGACAGTAAAATTCAAATTTGCCAAGATAATGTTGAAGGCAGAACTTGAAGAAGCTGATGAAATGCAGTCTAACTTGGAAGCGGCACAGTATCAAGAAAATGATATGGTCATGATAATACAACCACCTGCTAGCAGTGCTGGTTCAGATACAGATGACTAATATGTAAGATATCTTCGCCATTTATATTTTTTGAAAATATTGAGTCGTCAACAATTACCCATCATATCCGAATTTTATTGACTCAAGTCTATAATAAATAATAATATGACGAACATTAAAGAAAGAAGACATGAATTTTTTACTTTGCTACTATCAATTATGATAGATATTACTGAGTTTTACTATTGCACAAATTAAATAGTTGAAAATAAAAGTTAGTTAAGGTTTTAAAAGTTGTTTCTTTGTTTTCTATTTGTCACATATACAAACCTCACGGTAGTTGTACTTATCACGCAGTATTATATCTTTATACAAATGGTCAATGGTACTCAGAGCATGACATTACTGTGCCTCACCGTGACTTTAAACGTTCTTGTGGAATTAGTGGTTCTCCCCAATTTATACTTGCTGCTGGTTTTGATTATGAACGTTGATCCACATTTCTTTATTCCTGGAAGTACTTAAATCTTTTTTATTCTTCCTACCTTTTATTTCTTCTTCCGATAGGAGACCGCGGCAGTGTGCAGTCGCGACCTGTGGCTGTCCGCCACCACAGGCTACCTCTGTCTGTGACGCTTCAAAAAATATTTGTGTGTTTACGAACTTACAAGCCATATTATAGGAGGCTTATCCCACCCCAAGATGGCTGAAACGGCAGGAAATTGTGCTTCTTCAACCATCGTCACCTTGCATTTTATAATGAAACCAAACCCTTATCCTGCAGTAGCTTAGACCTTTGTTTATCACCAAAAAAAACACCACCACCAAAGGCTTCTACAAGGTACTTGATTCTCAGTTAAAACCGCCACACACGGGCAGCTTGCAGCGGGATATACTGCATCAAGCTGCGATTGCGTTTACAATCACCTACAATCTTCGGTGTAGAAACTTACACTGCACAGCACTAATACAACTGCTCGGGTGGTTGACAGCTCGATGAAATGGTAGCTTCAAGCTGTTGCCACTGATTGCTCGAGCAGAGCAGTCTATAGCCGCTCTTTAAGTCGTTATGAAATATTTATTATAGACAAAAATATACTGAATTATTTTATTCTTATAGGCGTCCAGAATTCCTTAATGAACAATAACATAGTTAATACCTCCAACTAAAATTTAATCTTCATAAAGCTCATTAAATGAAGTTTTTTAAAACTAAGTTTCATTATGAGATTAGGTGTATACCTTTACAGGTCAAATTATTAAGTCATTAAGTAGGTCAAATTTATTCGACGATGTATAGTATCAAGTTTTTCTATGAGCAATCAAATACTTGAAATAAATCCGCACTAAGTCATCAAAACTGATTTGTGTCCTAAATGCCATCTACTCCATTTTCAATGAAAACAAATATGTACATACTCAAGAAACCGCATAAAAATCTATCATACTTTAATTAATTCGAGAGATATATCATTTGGCAAAAAATACATGTAAAAACTATAATGAATCAAAATGAGTTGATAAAACCAATCGACTCGGTTTTTCGTCGGCGAAAATCCGTTAATGTTTTTCCATTATACCGTCAATCTGACAATCATTTTTACACACAATGGATTAATGGAAAACGAAGTAAAATTGTATTATCAACTAATTTCGATTTACTGGGTTTTCGCTGTACAACAACGCTATCACTCCCCCGGATATAAGTGGAGGCTTAAAAAGATTAAGAGAATGACTATTGCAACGCGGAATAGGCTAGTTGACTCATGTCGAATTATATTAAATAAATGTTTATTTCTTAAAGTATTTGATCTAAGGAACCTAAATATATTGATTTTACTTCATAAAAGCAGAAGATTGCTGTAGAAATTTAAATTAAAAAAATTTTTTTAATCTATACTTTTAAAACACTAAAAACGCTGTTCGCCACATCCGCCATGATTGTGGAGTCTCCTTGGTAGTAAACAACTGTCATTCATACATAACCTTAAAATTTGTATTATTAAAACTGATAATAAATGAAGAGACTTAAAATATTATTCAATGAGTATTTACATCAAAGTGATCTTCGCAAAAATTGCAGGATCGATAAAGTTGCACGATCTTAGCAAGTTCTAACCAGGTATTACGTAGGTTAATTTCTTTCGGCACTTTAATCCACAACTTTCCGGGAGGCTTCAAGGATATGTTTTTACATTCTCGTACAATACAATAATAATAATTACTATATTTTTCGTGGTATTTATTAGAAATCATGTTTTTTTATTATTAACTCAGATGGGTTATTTTCTACGTGCTTACGAATTTTTGTTTACTACCGGTTAACGTCATAGCATAGATAATCTATAGACTAAAGTGGCCGAGAGCGTTTTTGTATGTCCATGAAAAGTCTATTTTAAAATTAAAGATTTGTAGCTTTCTAGGTCTCAAAAAAATCTATTAGACCGAAAAAAATACAATACATTTTTTTTCGGTCTAATAGAACATTCATTAACCATTTAAAACCTTTTTCCAAAAAGGGTCAACTAGCTTTGCAATGCAATTTGAACTTTGCTTTCTATATAAATTTTGAACGACAACCGATGACGTAACTCAGGTCTTGCTGTCCGTATATCAGCGCCGGACTGTATCTCTTTAACCGTAAGTAGACAGTTGACATTTTCATTGTGTATATTTCTTTTGGTGCTATAACCACATGAGTAAAGAAACGTACAGTCCGTACTATAACAACCCAATTTCGTTCTCGCAGAACCAAGTTTTATTAAGAGCTTAGTTTACAAAGTTATTGCTAATTTAAAAGCTTTACCATGTTCCGGTAATACAAAACAGTAGCTTGCCACAAACTGTTTATAATTAAACATAATCCTCAAAATAAGATACCTTATTTGAAGATTGTGTCTAAAGCATCGAAGTTATATAGAAATAAGAAAATTTAGTAAGCTAAAGGTTATGTTTTCTGTATTCAATATATAACTTAATTAGTAAGTAACGGGAGTGAGTAATACTGCACACGTGTGCGTTATGTGTCCAAACCCCACTGGAAAAAGTTAATATTACACTAACGAATACACTCAACGAATGACCTTAAAATAATTAGTACACAAACGATAAAATATGTACGTACTTCAATGGTTCATCTCAAACCCTCGCTTATCACCAAAGAGCTTAATAGTTTTCCACGCTTTGTGTTTTTAATTTTATCCAAAAAATGTTGTCTAAAAATTTCCAGCGCGAGGTGCGTTCGAAAGACTGTTTAATTTATGGGTGATATAAAGTTTGTATTCGAATGGCAGCACGATAGGCCAATGCCACAAACACATGTCGGCGTGGAATGACCAGTTTGCTTGACCTTTTCCTCCTCCCTTTTGGGTCGTGAACTGTGTGTACAGAAGGGGTGTACAGTGGGCGTTGAGGGTTCTACATGGCTGGTCGGCTGCCAGGAGCAAGGGGGGCAGGAACGGAATCAATGAACTTGGTTCGAGCCGACCGACAAAAGGACGTTTCGGTATGGCAGGTAATTAACTTAATATCAGTCCTTATTTGCTTTGATACTAACACTTTTCGAGTGATTTAACCGGTTAGGAATTTGAGTTTACGTCTAAAATACAAAATATTTATAGGTGTTTTGATCAATATATTAAAGCCTTTGGTGTTGATACTTTTTAAATTGAAGCATATGGTAGGTTTAAAGGGATATTTTTTTTCTTAGATTGTTACTTATTAGATTACAAATATTTATGTATAACCTTTTTATATTATTATTTCCATAGGACCCTCGAGAGTTTATAACTTACTGTAACTAATAACAATGTCATGAGCATGCCTTGGTTGATAATTGGAAACAAGATGTTTTAATTTACGAAAGTTGTGTGTAGATAGAGTGTACGGTAAATAACTGGCGCATACTGTTCCTATTTCACTCCCAGTCCAGTACGGGAAGTAATTGGTAATCAACATTCGCCTGCCCTGTTCTCAATTTTATTTGGGGTCAGCGCAATATGTTTTTTACTCACATTCTTCGCGCTTCGCCTTTAATATCACCTCGACATTAAATTAATCCATTCTTTTTTTATTAATAAGAACGGAACTGAATGTAAAACAAAACCAATCAATCTGAGCAGTGTTTTAATTAATTGTTCTAAATATTTTAATTCAGATTTTCACCAATTTCTATTGAATTTATTAGGACCTTGATTAGTGAGTCTTTCAAAATATAAATAGGAATACAATTAGACAGTAATCGAAAATCTCCTTTTTTGCTATGTTCGGTTTAAAATAATATAAACATTTGAATGTTAATATTCGGGCCGGTTACCTTTTTTTGCTATACTTATTCATATTATAGGTAATTACTTATTGAGCCAACTCAAGCCCAACCTATACAACAAAAATGTGACATATCAGTAGCATGTCATAGAATTATACTATTTTATAAACAACTTCATAAGCATTCTTTAAATGAATAATAACGGTAGTAGGTATTCACCAAAGTTACTTTCGATCACACTAATTATAGAAACCATTAAAAGGGGATTATGAATTCCTAATAATTTAAGTTTTAGAAATTATCTTCTGTTTTTATTACAAAAAAAAAGAATCGTATTGTAGGTATGTATTTGTTAACAAGTAGCTGTATATTTTCGAATAATGTTCTGCATATTCAGCCCCATACTTACTTAATTAAAAGCCATTTAACTTAACCTAATTTGCTCAGAAGCTGTTAACCGTTTAGTTTATGGTTGACCCTTACCGTCACACAAACAAACCTACTAAACTTTAGTGACGTATTCATTGCAGTTCAAAGCACAACAGAAATAAGTTTTTGTAAAAATGACAATCAACCCTCCACGAGTCAAAGTTGATAGCCCCCGCTACCGCGAAACCGGTTAGTCTATCGGTCGAAAGCTACAAAAACATCTGTAGTCTTATTCTTATCAGTATAAGGTTCAAAATATAACGACGTGGAAGGGCGTGGGGAGGCACCTTATCCTCGGAGAGCATGTTCGATTCTCGCGTTAAGACTCACCACTTCTTATTGACATGTTGAGAAATACGTCACGACGACAATTTATACGCGCACTTATTGCTTGTTGTGAGTACACAAGCAATTATTATATTTTGAGATTATAGTTAAGTATGTCTTAACGTTTTTATTTTATGTATCAATAATGTTGGATTGATAAATACTGTTCACATGGCCCTGGTGGAATCGTTCAAGTTCAAGGTACTACAAAGAGTATTGAACGTATGTATGTTCTCA